ACACCACACACACACACACACACACACACAGAGAGAGAGAGAGAGAGAGAGAGAGAGAGAGAGAGAGATTTTAAAACTCATATTGAAAGTAAATAAAACATAGCATTAACTCAGATAAACCCATCAGCCATGATCAGGTTGGATTTTGTGGTCAGTGCTAACCACTGGATCATTTACTGCTGTCTCTCTGTGTCTGAGAAATGTTCCAGCTTTGCTCTCCAAATTAACTTATGGTCAGGAAATAGGTGTCAAAAGTGCGGCCAATGATTTGCAAATGGCCAATTGCCCAAATCTGTTGCAATTGCTCTGAAAGATGGCAAGAACAGCTTGGCTGACCGAGCTGCTCTCCAAATACCCAGGGGCCCTATCACCTATGAGGACAGCCTCGCTCAACCATCTGATTTCATTGTTATTTGCTTAATGCCAGACCCCGAGGTCACAGACAATTTAAACAGTGCACAACTGAGTGTTCAATTACCCATCTGCTGGGCCGCTTGATGCTAAAGCTCCCCCCAAAAGCCCTGTCATCAACACTTTCCTGTCCACTGCATCAAGAGAGGGCAAGGGCATCTGTGGTGACACCTCCGGTCATCACCTCTTTCACGCACACTTGCAAAGGCAGCAGCCTGTAGCAGAGAAGGGTTTCGGGATGGACGATCACTGAGCCCTGTCTCAGCCCCAGTTCCTGAAGGTGTGCAGGCCAGCCTCCACCCCCAGCTTCATCTCTTAGCTGAAATCTCCCACTCTAAATAAAATAGGATTTCTAATTGCATTAAACTCTGAAAGCAACAAGAAATTCTTAACTAGTCCTAACTTACCTACTCTTGAAAGATTAAAACCTGACCAAGAGTGGTGATGCATGTCTGTACCCAAAACACCCAGGAGGTAAAAAAAAAAAAAAGCAGGAAGATAAGTTGATAAGTTTCAGGTTAGCCTGGACTACATAGTGAATCTAAGGAGGCCAAATTAGATATAAGTAACTTTTTATTAAGTTATGATTTAGAATTTCTATTTTTTCTTGGTTTTTTTTTTTTTTTTTTTTTTTTTTTTTTTGGGGCGGGGAGTTTCAAGACAGAGTTTCTCTGTGGCTTTGGAGGCTGTCCTGGAACTAGCTCTTGTAGACCAGGCTGGTCTCAAACTCACAGAGATCTGCCTGCCTCTGCCTCCCCAGTGCAGGGATTAAAGGCATGCGCCACCACTGCCCGGCTTTTTTCCCCTTGTTTTTAATGATACTTCAAACTTGTAATCCTGCTACCTCTGCCTCCTAATGCTAGGATTACAGACATATATCATCCTACTGGCTCCAAATGGTTTGAAAAATGTAAAAGCCTATAATCCCAGGCTCTCAGGCAGCAGGATCACAACTTGAAGCCAGCATGGACTACATAAAAAAAAAATGGTAGTAAGAAAACAACTGAAAGAATTTATGTGCTGCTGAATCAGAAAAGTCTCTTATGTTTTCCTCTGGATAATCTAAGCTTTTATAACTTGTGTAATAGTTTCCTCCAAAATTGAAACAATCCATCCTACAGGGAAGCTCCTTAAGCAGGAAGGTAAACAACTCAAAATAGCTTCAGGAATTCCTGAAACTGACCAGATTCACCAGGCCCCTCCCTGCCAGGGTAAACAATAAAGGTTGAGAGTCCCTCTCATCCATGCCAAGATGTAAAGGAGACTGAGACCAGACCAGCTCCTGGAAGAAGTAGAAACCAGATGAGCTGCCTGAAAGAGAGTTAGACCAGCTGAGGCACCTGGAAAGGACACTCTCCAAACTGTTGAGCTGCCTGCAGGCTGTGCACTGTGCTCCAGGTTCCCCTCTTTGTGAGCTGCTGTCTGTGCTGGGGTTGGCTGTGGTGATGCAGCTGTCTTTGAGTCATTTCTTCTCCTATAAGTAAGCCTCACCCACATTCCTGTAAATAACCCCAATAAAATCCATGGTTCATCAAGTTGTACATTGGTGTTATCCATACTTTGGTCTGCCGAGGTTTCCTATCTGGGGTTAGTAGACGTGTTTGTTGCATCTCCCCAGGAAAAGTTTTGTCACACAACATAACTGTACCATAAATGTCAGACTATAACCTATGTATTTTTAAAATTCTAAACTCCCCATATCAGCTCTTGTAAAACTGAGCATCTTGAGTATGAGTAAAGTTAGGGAGGTAGTCTCCTACCATGTTTGTCTTCATAAGCTTCTGGTACCAGTTAGCTGTGTGCCTGTGAACAAGATTTTATCCTGAGCCTCATGGACCTGTGAGCTTTTACTCACGGCTTGATAGCTCTAAAACTAAAGATAAAGGATATTCCTAACACAGCATTTCATGGCTCAGCAGCTGCGGCTGTGTTCTGCTGTGTGGCTGGCTCTTCCATCTCATCCTGGGTCACTGGTGCATCTTTGGGCTGCTGCAAGATCACTAATTGCTGACTTCAACTAGCTTCTTCACAGGTCTGAGGACTCATGGAGGGCCATCCATCTTTGCTTCATGTGGCCTTTATCTTCTCATCCTCTAGCAGGAGATCTGAGCTTGTTCATGTGGAGCTGCCAGGGATCAAAGAGAGGAAGAGGTGTAGAAAGATTCTTGTCCCATCCTTATTTTTCTTTTCTTTCTTCCCCACGGTGCTGAAAACTGAACACAGGGTCTTGCACACGAAAAGTGAGCACTCTACCACAGCGCTACACCTCTAGCCCATTTTCACCTCTACTGAATTCTGCAGGACAGAAAAGGGCACAGACTGGCAGAAACATAAAGTCTAGGAAAATAAAAACATCACTTCTTTGTGGTAAGAGAAGAATTTATGGTTATTCTACAGTGACCTACTTGTCTTTATTGTCTGTAAATATTTTTAAAAATCTCATTAATCATGGTATTAAATGGAACCACTTATAAAAATCACAGAGTATGTTGGTATCTTTCAAACCAAGGATACGGAGCCCAAAGCAATGAATGTCCTTGTGTGGCTTGTAAATACCATCTGATTAACTGAAGGTTTAAACAAGTGCTATTCAGGGTTTATGTTGATTATCTAATAAATCTGTGGATAAATACATTACAGTTGACTTAATTATCCTAGCACTAGGAGGCTAAGGCAGAACGAATACTGTTAGCTCTAGAGAGATCTGGCTGCAGTACAAGGCCCTGTCTCTAAAGACCAAAAATAATAGTTTAATTTCATGCTTCCATTGCTTGGTCACCTACAACATGCTACGTTGATGTGCTATTTCACATCTGCCTCCTCAGAAATTTGATCAAGGTCTACTCTAAAGAGTCTTCCTGTTTCTCACTTAATGGTGTAATTCAATTTCCTGGACACATTGCCTCACCTCCTTTCTTCTCCTCTCCCACCCTCCTACAAAGGTCTTCTCTAACATGCTTAGCTGAGTCAGACTCCAACTCTCACACCTCCTTGCCCTTTGATTGTGTTTCCATGGATCCTTCTCAGTTAGTGCCCAAGAATGCTGGAAGCGTCATGAAAGGCCATTTTAGTAATAGAACAGTCTCCATGGCATAGACCGTCTAAATTCTCAGTCTGTGATCATATTACCCAGCTTACTATGGTTTCATGCTTGCCCTCTTCATAGTTTGGCCTAGGGAAACTGGTCGCCAGACCAGTTTCTTTCTCCCAGTTATTGTCCTCACTATTAGCACAAATTTTCTTTCTTTTTTTTCTTTTACTCCCCACAAAGTTTTATTTTGCTAACATTCCATCTGGGGTGAATGGCAGATCTCCACAGTGACTGCTGTTTTCCATATATTAATTTCCTACTTTTGCTTAGATGCTGAGCATTTTATATTCTCCATGTGGTTGGTTTCATTGACGATTTGTTTGGAAAACTTAGAATCAAAGTTCTAGGGCGAACTGTTAGTCCCCCTCAAAATACATGGTGAAGTTCTAACACTAAGCATCTCAAACTATTACAATATTTTAAATTGGGTCCATTAAAGGCTTAATTAAGTTAAACTAAGGATGGTTAAATTGGGCTCTGGTTTAATGATAGTGCCTTTACAAAATCTAGATACAGATGTTCACAGAGATAAGATGATGAAAGACACAGAGATGTGGCTACATGATTGAAGTATCAAATCTAAAAGCCAAGGAGTGCCTGCCTGCCTGTTTGCAGCTGAGGAACCAGGCATAGTACATTTGCCTCTCTGGTACCTTCAGAGGGAATATGGTTCCATAAACAGTGATGTTTTTTATTTTGTTTGCTTACTTCTAGCCTTCAAATCTGCAGTTTGATATACTTAGCAATTTTTTTTTGGTAACTCAGTATGTGATGGTTCATTATAGCAGTCCTAGGGTGCTAATAAAATCCATATTGAAGGGTTTTCTTTTCTTTGGCACAGATTCCTCTGGACACTTTATCAAATTTAGACTCACCCCCCCCCACTTCTTTGAACTTTCTCCTCATGTATTTCCCAAAATGTTTTAACTGTTTGCTAGATTTTGCTTTTTAAAATTGGTATTTTAAAGCTTTCATCTTAGAGGCTGGAGAGATGGCCCAGTGGTTAAGAGCACTGGCTGCTCTACTAGAGGTCCTGAGTTCAATTCCCAAGAAACCACATGGTGGCTCACAACCATCTATAATGATATCTGGTGCCCTCTCCTGGTATGCAGGCAGAACACTGTATACATCGTAAATAAATAAAAGTTTAAAAAAAGTTTTCATCCTAGATTCAATTCATTGAAAGGCCACCACTGTAAGTGCTGTAGGGACTGTAGGTGCTGGTATAACAACATGAAACAGTGGTATAACTCTTTTTAGGTGAGATGGGTAAGCATAGTGTAGATTGGTGACCTGAGACTTGGCTTAAGTTACCCAAGTCCCTTTCCCAACATAAAATCCTTCCCTGTCTTCAGCTATACAACCCCTCCATGTCACTGGGCTCCTCCCCTGCCCATAGCTGTGTACATATCCCTCCACTTTCCATTCAGAAATATCCAGTTGATATATCTGGAACCAGAGGCAGGGGCTAACCCATCCTGAACCAGTTTGGGATGCAGGAGAGTAAGGCAAACTGTGTTTGCTGAGTGAACTTTTAGGAGAAATCTCCTTTTAATCACCTTATGCCTATACATGATTGGGCATTCAAATTGTTAAAATTGGGATCATTGTAAGGGAGGCTTACATGACCCAAGGTTATCAATCAAAACAGATAACCATATGCACTTAGCAACCAACCCCTTCTTCTTCTTTGAGACCCAAAAAAAAGAAAGCCTCAAACAGTAGCCAGTACTCTTGGGCACTCTGGTCAAAGTAACCTGCTACACTCTTGCCTGTCTCATGCTATCTCTTTAAATAAAACCCTTTCTGCTTTTCCATTTATGGCGCAGTTTTTAAAATTATTTTAGTAAAGGCTACTCAAGACTCCTCCTACTACTACTTCTACTACTACTAAAAAGACTACTGTTAACAAGCACACACAGTGGTGTCTAAACAGAGTACCAACCAAAGCCCTTGCTCTTCTATTTATATGAATGTAAACAACTTCATCTTATATTCTCTCTTTTCCTAGAATCCATATTGCTGGACAGTTTTTTGTCAACTTGACACATGCTAAAGTCATCTGAGAGGAGGGAGTCTCAGTTGAGAAAGTGCTTGTAGAACATTTTCTTAATTAGTGATTGATGTGTGGGGCCCAGCCATTGTGGGCTGCTAGTCCTGGGGTCTATAAGAAATCAGGCTGAGCAAGGCATGGAAAACAAGCCAGTAAGCATTCCTCCATGGCCTCTGCATCAGGTCCTGATTCCAGGTTCCTGCCCAGTTTGGGGTTTGACTTCCTTCGATGATGTATATAATGATATGGAAGTGTAAACCAGACAAACCCTTTCCTCCCCAAGTTGTTTTGGCTTTATCACAGCAGTAGTAACCCTAACTAAGATACCACATAACCAACGTCCCTCAACATCACTCTATTTTAGTATAAGTCCTTTCCATGCTTGAAATCCATTTTTTTATTATTTCATTTCTCTACATCAAAGTACACACACAAGTTGAGTTTTCTTTATGGAAAAGGCTATAAAGTGTTAAAAAATTATCACAGATTAAGGTTGTCATTACAAGTGATATATAAATACATTATGATTTTTGTTAAATATAAAATTATACCTCTTAATAAGATGGTTGTGGATTGTTATCTTCATCCATTTGCATTGCTATAATAAAATGCCATAGATTAGTCAACTTACACATGACAGTGATTATTTCTTAAAATTCTGGAGTCTTAGAAGTCCATAGTCAAGATCCCATCAGATTTAGTGTGTGGTGGGATCTACTTTCTCATGGATAACATCTTCTCATTGTGTCTTCACAACCCTTTATAGCCTTTTTTATGTGTATGCCTGTATCCATTTGCACCATGTATGTGCCCGGTATCCAAGGAATTCCAAAGAAGGCATTATATTCCCTGGATCTGGAGTTATAGATAGTTGTGAGATGTTCTGTGTGTGCAGGGAACTGAACACAGGTTCTCTGCAAAAGCAAGTGCTCTTAACTGCTAAGCCATTGCAGCTCCAGAAGCTTTTTTAAGCTTTTTTTAAGCCACAAATAAGCTCCAACCTCAAGACTCACTTTCCCCAAGACCTCCCCCACCACCACCGCCAAGTAAACTTCAGAAGTTTGGTTTTGACACACTCATTTTTCAAGATTGAATGTTCAGACTGTAACAGGCTGTTCTGACCATTTGAGAGCTTGTTTGCAGGAAGCGGGTATGAAGTACTTATTATTGTATCCCAGGTTATTTTTACTTGTTGCTACAAAAAGAAATCATGAAGCACCTACTCTAATTTTTTTTCTTTATTGGTTGCTTTCGTGAACCAATGAGAATAAAAGAAGGGACTATAGTAAGTCTTTAAACTCTCTCCATCTCACATACCTCCCAGTACTGCACGGTGACCTATATCCAAGTGTGCATTTGTTGACACATAGGCCAACAGCTCAACAATCTGTCCATTTTGTTGAAAGTACATAGCTAGAATCCACCCCACTTGCTAAGTAACCTGCTACCCTATTCTTAGAGTTAGTCACCTTCTCCACTCCTGAAGTCCACCAGGGGCTTGTTGAGATCTAACTAAATCCTGGTGCTTATTTCTCTCATCCTTTGGCTAAAAGCTGTTTACCCTATGAACAATTCAGGGAAGGGAGGTATGTCTCTGAACCTCTCCTGACCTTTATTCAAAAAAACTTGAGCTATAGATACCATGAGATAGTCACAGAAACTGTCTCCCAGCTAAAATTCTTTGTGTTTTAACCAAAGTCTTGGAGCTGTAAATTAACTCACCTGATTTACGGGCAATAGCTACCATCGACTTAACTGATAAATGTCCTTAGACTTTGTAGTTGTAGTCAAACAAGACTGCTTTCTCGTTGGAGGAAAAGAAAGAAAGACGGATGGATGGATGGATGGATGGATGGATGGATGGATGGATGGATAGATGATAGGTAGGGGTGTGTGTGTGTTTTACTGGAGATCAAACCCAGCATCATGTAGGGAGAGATCTGCGCACCTGTGCCGATAACCACGCCCATTTGGGGTGTGGCCACAGGTGTGCACAGGTGGCTGAATAAAGGGCTGAGAGAAGGAGCTCCCTGCTCTCTTCGGGGTTCCAGTTGGGTCTCAGAGTGCTGCTGAGACTGGATTCACGGAGTGCTATCTGGTTATCGGTTTCTCATGTAAGTGATTCCCTCTTTTAATAAATAACCAACTATACCCTTATTCCGGGTACGGTTCACTTCTGCGACAGCATCATGCACATGATAGGCAAGGACTCTACCACTGTAC